AGACTCCTCGCCCCAATAAAACCTCTTTTATTTAGGTTAAAGGGAATTTCTCTCCAGGACTCCAGCAAAGTCCTGGCAAACAGTCTTTAGTGAGATTTCACAACTACAGACCTTTATCAGGCTTGGAGAGTTGCCAGGCCGATATCTTTCAAACATCACGCTGTAGCCGTAATTACTTGGCAAGATGTCAGGAACAGATCTTCACCCTCATGAATTGAACTAATTGTCTCCTGCAAACTCCCCTCCCCTTCGCTCTTCTTTATTCCCTATGGGAGGGGCCATTCACTGTCTACCTGTGCATTTATCCCAAGTCGGCCCTTGTTCCTTAGCTGTTCCCTTTTCCTGGCAACTCTGTGCATGCACACATTGGGAACAGGCTCCAGCTGTTCTTCTGCCCCACTGATATCCGACTCCAAATGCAGCTGATAACTGTCGGACGGCCCCAGCCCCATCTCTGCCTCCGATGCAGAGCACTCATCAGAGCCTTCCCCAGACTCCAGGACTCCATGTTCCTCTCCAACTTCCTCACTGTCTGAGTCTGCCACCAGCTCCGCTGGCCACTGGGGGGGCCACAGCAGTGGCTACCAAGAAGCCTCTACTTTGTGCCTAGCAGATTGGTAGATGTAGATGGACAACAACACTAGAAGCCATCCTGGCTGGTTGGAAACATGTTTGCAATGTATCTCCATGCCCCAGAGTGATAGACTTTGGATAGTATTGGCATGCAACATGTAAAGTGCAGATGACCTGCATATGGGCTTTTTTAAGTATCTGTAGTTGCTTCTTTGGAAGCCGGATTGTATCTGGTATAAGTACACATAGTGAGAAAAAAGGCCAATATATACAAGTGCATTATCCATAGTTTATATGTGACTTACAAAACTAGGCTGCCCAATTGTTTTATTTATTTATTGTCAATTTGTTTTAAATTAAACAATAGGGGTTTTTTTTAAGAAAGCAAATACATAGACATACACAAATAAATGCAAATAATTCTGAAATATGATACATTCTATAAGAAAATCTTATCTGTAGGTCCTGTTGGGGTGTGTGGGTGGATGGATGGATGGGTGTGTGCGTGCATGTGTGTGCGCATGTCGGTCAGTGCATGTGAGTCTATTGTCTGCAGACAATCGAGAGATGTACTTGCTGAAAGCTCTTGGCTCACGTTCTCTCCAGAATTTGTTCTCTGCCCAATAAAGATGGAATAGTCCAAGAATTATTCCCCTCCCCTTTGGGCTCTGCACACATACCATTATTCTCCCTCTGTGACAATTCTTTCATAGACTTCCATGGTGCGCTTTCTCCTCTCCTGGCAACAGTGAAGGAGGAAAAAGACAAAAAGCTCCGTGGAAAAAAAAAAGTTGGCAGATGGCAGACAACCCCCCTCTCCAGCCATTGTTCTTTTCAGCCTCTGCTGCCAACTCTGGGAGAAAAGGCATGTGGCTTCACAGTCAGATGGAGTCTTCTGTAAATGCTCTTGTACAATTAATGGCTTAGAAGGCATGACAAATTAAGAAGGGCCATAAACAGGGGAATGAATTTGGAAAATGTCAATGTAATGGTTGCCAGATTGGGACTTTATAGAGTCACTGGGAAATAAATCTCTCCCCCCACCCCGAAAAAAAAAAACCTCCAGCTGAAGCTTAAGTACAAAAAAGCTTAAGTACAAAAGTATGTTTTATAGGGAGTGTCGCATAGCCATTGAATAGCCTTGCATCCTATTGTATGCAGGAGTAGCCTTCAATCTATGGAGCAACAGTGCCTTCAAACTACTCTAAGCCCAGGGACCATCTATCACTTTTTAATTTATTCTCATGTGATTTGCATGAGGACTAAATGCATTGGTGGGAGAAGTGGGATCACGACCGTAACTCCACTTTTTAGTTGCAGGAATAGTCAATGTACAAATATTTTGGTCAGTGAATAAACAAGCATGCTCCGTGCTTACATCAGCATCTGCAGCAATGTTTATATCCAGAAAGCATTCTCTCCGTCATCTGGAATCCTGGAAAAACAGAGCTACTGATTCCACTGCATACATATTTACATATATTTGTTTTACTTGGAATATGTGTATTTCCACATCACCACGAGCATGTGAGCTTTACATTCTCTTCCCCCTCCCAGAAGGTTCCACACTGCAGATAACCCCGCCCCCCCGCAACTCCTGTCGAAACAAAATGTCTATTATTTATTTATATCCCACCTGTATTACTTTTACAAATAACTCAAGGTGGCAAACATGATCCACCTTCCTCCTCCTATTTTCCCCACAACAAAAAATCTGTCTGGTGCACTGGGTGGTGGAGTAAGTGGCCCAAAGTCACCCCGCTGGCTTTCATGCCTAAGGAGGGACTTGAAATCACTGCTTTCAAGCTTGGTGAACTAGACCAAACTGGCTCTCATGGACCAGTCTTCCATGCTCAACAATCTGTGGATTGTGAACAGGGGGGAAATGGTGCTTATTTTATAAATTTTTTTAAAAAAACTGAAGTTGGTCCAGGGTCTAAGTCAGGAGTGTCAAAATGGCAGCCCGCGGACCAGATGCATCATGTGCAGGCCACACCCACCCCGGTTCCGCAAAGGCAAAAAACATTGCGATACATCACAATACATCATGTGACGTGATCGATTTTGACACCCATGGTCTAAGTCATTATCATTATGATTAAGTCATTTATTTAATAACAAACTGGTAATTGGTGAAGTTTGAATTAAGGATTGCCCAGCTGATTACTTACCATAATAAGTAACTTAAACTAAGGATGGAAAACTCTTTCAGTTTTGATTTTGTGCAGATCTTCATTTCTTCACCCTTAAGCTCGTTTCCTTTTATTTGGGATCACCTTGCCATTTTAAAAATTATTATTATTATTTTATTATCGTCTGTACATTTTTCCTAACAAATATCTTTTTGTGTGCTGTTTAATCAACCCTTTTGTACTTAATTTTTAAATTTTTCAGTAGTACAGTAGATAAGTTCTTGGTTGACCAATTGCATCAGAAAATGGAGAAACACGCAGACTTAAAAATGCAGGAAATGGTTTGTCCTGAAACTGCAAATTAAGTGAGTCAATCATTTCCTATTCTTATTTTATCACTGCCCTGCATCAGAAATTGCACGGTGTGTGTAATTCTGGTTCCAAGAATAACATATTGGGAAGCCAATGTGTTACCAGATAGAAGCTCAATCATGTATAAGAATGCCACATTATTATTATTCTTTCACAAAACCCTTCACTGGCTTATACTGTATGTCAGATTTTAATAGGGAGGAATAAGAGTTAAAACTTACTTATTGCCAAATATCCAGGATCCATTCTCTACTGAACCAATGTGAAACAGTTCACAGTTTGTCAAACAGAAGCATAAGATGACAGATTCTTTGCAAGTTGAATGTTATATGTTCTGGAACTGATAACAAAAGCAAAAGCAGCAAGAAGCGAGTCATAATGATTGATGGCTAACAATCCAAGGAGCTAGAGGAAGCAGGGAGACAAGCTCTAAGTATGGCACGTTGATTTCCCATCTGTTCTCCCCTCCCACCCCCGCAGATCTTCCCCTTCTTTAAGAAAATAAAGTTAAGCATGACCAATAAGTTAAAATGAAAATAAGACTGTAAATATGCCTATTTATAATTTATTTTCACCCAACTGATCAGGACATTAGATAAAATGCATTTAAGTGAGAGCATTAGTAAAAACTATAACGTTCTTTCCAGGTCAATGCCTGGAATGCACTACCTGACTCTGTAATTTCTTCCCCCAACCCCCAAAACTTTAACCTTAAACTGTCTATTGTTGACCTCACCCCATTCCTAAGAGGTCTGTAAGGGGCATGCATAAGTGCACCAGCGTGCCTATCGTCCCTGATCTAATATTCCTTTTTACTTACTCTTTTTAAGTATTCAAATTATGTTTATACTTTTACCTGTTATCTTATATATGCTTGACAAATAAACTTATGATTATGATTATGATTGTCGGAGTGTTTGCCTACACGTGGCAAAGTCAGAATGAGTCTTGGAGTACCTTTTCTGATTAACCAATTGTATTAAAAGATCATTTTAAATTTTATTAAAAGATCATTTTACATTGTATTAAAAGATCATTTTACATATTACATTTTAATTGTATTAAAATGATGTTGCTTTCATGCAACATCAGATAAAGTTGCATCTGATGAACTGAGTCGCAGCTAATAAAACTTATGCCAATGTTTTTCAAACTTGGTAGCTAAAATGTGTGGACTCCAACTCTCAGAATTCCCCAGCCAGCAAAGGTGCTCCCAGACTCCTTCTTATTTGACTCTCTGTAGGTCCTTTTCTTTCTAGAGTGTTGTGGAAATTCCTTCCCCTTAAAACCATGTGTGGAGCAGCCATCCCAAGTCTGACATTCACCAGGAATTTTAGGATTTAGGAGAATTCCTAGAATTCTCAGCCAGCATCACCCAAAGTCATGCAGGAATTGTGAGAATTGCAGTTTCCCCGCATATAGAGGATACTAGATTGGAGAAGGTGGGGTGAAGTAGCAACAATTATCCTACTGTCCAATGTGCTTGCTATTAAAAAAAAATGGAAGTATCCTAATAGCCTATCAATTATCTGGACCTTTGTCATGTTTATACATTTTGAAGTAGCCTACTTCAGCATAGGAAATTGCAGCAGAATTAGCACGACAGATCTTTACCAGAGTGGACCTAAAGCTGATCTTCTTTAAGTAACTAAACTTAAAGTTAAATTAAAGGATTCCATTTATCTTATAGGCCTCAAGCTGTATCCTTCATCTTTTACTTTTATTCTAAGCCAAATGGTTTTATACTTCTTATTTCTTAATATTTCATCCTCCTGGCACATCTCCTTAAACCCATCTCTTTTCCATGTATCTTCTTTCTTCAAGAACATGCATCCAACTCAGTAATTTGTTTATCCATAGATTTATGGGGTTTTTTTCTCTCTCTCTGTCCTTCCCTTTTCCCTATCCCCATCTCCTATATAGCTAAAGAAAGTTCCCTGGGAGAGACTGAGCTACAGCCAGGATCTGATTCTGCTGGAATGGATAGTAGTTACCTCAGCGTGAAAGAGACCAGTACAAAGACGTCCCAAGAGAGGGCAACTAATGATCTTCCCAGCCCAATGGACAAGACTGATTCGGAGAGCAACAAGGGCAAGAAGAGACGTAACCGCACCACCTTCACCAGCTACCAGTTGGAAGAGCTGGAAAAGGTCTTTCAGAAGACCCATTATCCAGATGTCTATGCCAGAGAGCAATTAGCCATGAGGACAGATCTCACTGAAGCCCGAGTACAGGTAAGGGCAGAAACTGTCGGTCATGGGAGAAAGGAAATTGGCAAGTCCACAATGCAGCCACGTCTACAACTACAGTAGTGAGCAATATCCTTAGACTGGGATAAACGTACAGTGTTCTACAATACACATTTTAGAATAACAACGCCTGTATTTAGTTTAGAAACCTGCCAAAATGGCTTCACAAGCATCTTCAGTCAGCACCAAAGTGAGGCAATGAAAATAGATGGTCCATTGTGTTGAAAACTCTTTTGAAATGGAAACCTTAAATTTTTGTTTCCTGGTCCAAAGGATCAGTGAAAACTATTCTATATCTGGGTATGAATTTGATGAGAACCAAAATGTATATATAACACCAAGCTATTTTTTTCAGCTTTTAAAAAAATCCCTATTAATTAATTCATTTATTAATTTATTATTTTAATTTATTATTTATTTATTAAATTTGTTTGCCACCCATCTTGCTGCGACGACAAATTGCATTAATTCAAGAAGGCAGGTTTTTGTGTTCTACTTCTAGCATTCAACAATGGCAGACATTATATACAACTTTTGGTACACTCATTATTAACAATTCTTCAGAGAAGCTCCGTGCTGCAGCAGCAGATGCTTTTCGAGTACAGATACTCCTTGGTTAACAACCATTTGTTCAGTTTTCATTCAAAGCTACAATGGTGCTGAATGAGGAGACTTAGTTTACTCTATTATCATTGCACCTCATACAACGAAATTAAATGCCATCTTCAGTACTTATGGATGGTCCTCAAATTTATAGTCATCGCAGCAGCCCTGCAGTCACATGATCATGATTCAGGCACTTGGCAACCAACTTGCAGTTACAATGGTCACAGCATCTTGACAGTCACATGATTACTATTTTCAATCTTCTGTAAAGCAAAGTCAATGGGGAAGCCACAGTAGCCCATCATAAGTAGATGTGGTCATGGGACATCGCTACTTATAGATGTTTGACTGTCAATTCTCAGTATCTCTAGTGGGAGTTGCTTTGAGCGGTCATTAAACAAATGGTTATTAGTCAAGGGACTACTTGTATAACAATATAGCAACGCATTTATATATATATATATATGCAAGTCTTGGCATATTCGGGTCTTTTCCCATGTAAGATTGAGAGTATCTTGGTGACATTTCAACGAGGTCCCACTCGTCATCTTCAGGCTGGTGTCTTCGGCTTCGTGCTTGTGCGAGCAAAGCATGATCGGAGATGTCGTCTCTCTATAAGTACTGGTGGGGAGGTGGGGAGTGCTGGCTTTGTTGTTTTAAGCTCAGGATGTTACAACACAGCCAACTACCCAGGATGTTGCAGCACAGGACTCAGGATGTCACAACACTGGAGCTCAGGATGCTACCACACAACCCATTACCCAGGTCGTTACAACACAAAAGGCTAATGGGCACACAGCTAGGACCTCAGCCACACAGGATGTTATGAAACAGCCGACCAATCTGCAAACATCAACTCCATCTACTAATCAAGATGTAACATATATATATATAAATAAGATGCAATAATAAATTGTTGCAAAAACAATAAAAATGCTAACCCCAATCATTTTAACATTTACCAGAAAAGCTTCCTTTCAACCAATTACCAGAATGTCATCAGGCTGGATATTAGCCTAAATTCAAGTTGGAAGCACCTTCATAAATAAAAGCTTCTCCCAAAAACTCCTTTTGCAGCAGAGGTGGTATTCAGCAGGTTCTGACCAGTTCTGGAGAACCAGTAGCGGAAATTTTGAGTAGTTCAGAGAACAGGTAAATACCACCTCTGGCTGGCCCCGCCCCCATCTAGTCTCTGCCTCCCGAGTCTGATTGGGAGGAAAAGAGGATTTTGCAGTAACCTTCCCCTGGAGTGCAGTGGGAATGGAGATTTTACAGTATCCTTCCCCTGCCATGCCCACCAAGCCATGCCCACCAAGCCACACCCACAGAACCGGTAGTAAAAAAATTTGAAACCCACCACTGTTTTGCAGGCTTTAGGTCTTCACACAACATAAGAATTGGGAAACCAGTACTAACATTTCCCAGGAGAATTTATTAGACATGTTGACTCTGGTTGGAGATACCTAGGATCCAAACCAGGTTAACATCACTATTTTCAGTTGTATCTGGAAATCTAGTGAAAGCCAATGAAGGAAGCCTGTAGCAAAGATCTTACATGGCTGTGGTGGCTCTCACTCAATAAATGGGTTGCTGCTTTTGTACCAACTGCTGTTTCTGGAGCAGCACTGAGCAGAATGCTGCAGTAGTCTAACTCTGTGGTGGTGAAGACTTCAGCTACCTTAGCCAACATCTGGATAGAGAGCTGTATAGAAGTGCTTTTTAACAATTAGTCCTGTTTCTAAGCTATTTCTTCCTCTCTTGCTTCCTTCCATTGTATAGAGCAGTGGCCCCCAACCAGTGGTGAAATCCAAATTCTTTTACTACCAGTTCTGTGGGCGTGGTCTGGTGGGTGTGGCAGGGGAAGGATATTGCAAAATCTCCATTCTCACTCCAGTCCAGGGGAAAGATACTGCAAAATCCCCATTCCCTCCCCACTCCTGGGGGAAGAATATTGCAAAATCTCCATTCCCACCCCACTCTGGGGCCAGCGAAAGGTGGTATTTGCCGGTTCTCCAAACTACTCAAAATGTCAGCTACCAGTTCTCCAGAACCTGTCAGAACCTGCTGGATTTCACCCCTGCCCCAACTTTTTGGGTACCAGGGACTGGTTCTGTAGAGAGAGCTTTTTCCACGGACCGGAGGGGGCATGGTTTCGTGTGCTGCCTACATCCCATGGATGGGGCTTTTGCTTGTTTGCCCAGACCAGTTTCTGGCATGCCATGGACTGGTGTTGGTTCACAGACTAGGAATTGGGGACCCCTGGTGTAGAGACCTGAGAAATCTTTGTTCATCCCAGAGTCCTCTCTCATTAATGAAAACCTTTTCTAGCAATGACCCTGCCCCGTGGAAGGCTTTTGAAAGCAAGGTGAAATGTCAAACTTTGCTGAAGCAAAATCCTTGCTGAAGAAGAAAGAGGAGGAGGGCAAAATAAACGTCAAGCAAAAAAGTAATATGTCTTGATCCCCTTTTTCCCATAAAACCTTGGGAGGCTAGTGGAAGGAGTGGAAAGGCTGAACTAAGCCTGCAGGAAATTAAACATGAAATGAAAATAAGCTAAAGCCATTCGGCTCTCTTATCCCAAGCTCAAATTTCCCATTCCAAGCCACTGATAAAATGGTGTCCAGTTTCAGTGATTAAAGATGAATTCTGGCTCTTTTCCTGTACTCAAACAAGAGAACAAAGCTCTTGCCCTCTAAAGGAAAGGGAAACTGGATGAAAAGCAGGGCTTTTGGAAGAGTTTGAAAGAGTCAGATGAGGCAAGAAACAGTGATGATGAGAAAGAGCCTGATGTGTGGGTGTGGGAATGTGGTCTGTGTGAGTGACAACCCACTTGGAATATGTTAGGGATGAACCATGAGTTAAGAGTCAGAAAGTAAGACAGAGTTATATATATATATTGGTATTCCTGCATTAAGTACGGTTCTTTCTTCACCAGAATGATACCACCGATGTACAACGAGAAAGTTCTAACAAACTTGAAATTCATTTTTTTAATGAAATTTAGAGGAATAGATGTTTGTTCCTTTTATAGCCCAGGCAAAGTTTGTCAGGGCCATCACATGCTGAGATTTAAAAAAACAACTCCTTACTAAGAACTAAACTAAAAAGTGGGAAGAAGAGAGCAAAAACAATCTAGCCTGTCAAGTGATCTTCTTGGATTAAGTTTCTTGGGTTGTTTCCATTTTTTTTCCTCTGCTGGAAGAAAACAGCATATTCCAGTGTTTTTCAATCTTAATAATTTTAAGATCTCTGGACTTCAATTCCCAGAATTCCCCAGCTAGCAGGTTGGGGAATAGTTCCTTGTTCTCTTACTTAAAGCATGCATTGTTTATAGTTGTGGTAGCAATAATAATAGCAGAAATAGCATACCTTCCAGGTTATGGAAATTCTACAGCAATCTAACTAGATGGTGTTCTCTACCACATGAAGTACTGTCAACCTTTTTGTAAATAGTTCTCCCATTTATCTAAATCAAAGAGAGAAAGTGCCCAATTTAAAGTGGGTGGCAGTAACTTAGTCAACTTGGCTTGATCTCAAAAGGGAGAGGATAATAGGAAGTCAAGAATCAAATTCAACTTGAAAGAGACATTATTATCAAAAGGAAAAAGATTTTTTTTCATATACCTGATGAAAGATTTCTTGCCAGAACCAATTTTCCTCCACAAATTTGGGAAATGGCATGTGGAAAATATTAAGGTTTTTCCCACTATTAGGTGCCAGGGCTGATTAATTTCACCCTCTCTAAGACTGTTGATGAGAGCAAGCAAGATGTCACATAAAGTCCATATTATGGGGTGAAGAAAACATTGGTGACAGGGGTGCTATTCAGCAGGTTCTGACAGGTTCTGGAGAACCGGTAGCAGAAATTTTGAGTAGTTTGGAAAACCGGCAAATACCACCTCTGGCTGGTCCCAGAGTGGGGTGGGAATGGAGATTTTGCAGTATCCTTCCCCTGCCACACCCACCAAGCCACGCCCACCAAGCCACACCATGCCCACCAAGCCATGCCCACAGAACCGGTAGTAAAAAAATTTGAATTCCACCACTGTTTGGTGATATGTTCTAAGTAGCAGTTGTAATTGGCCATAATATATAGGTCTGTCCATAAGATAGTGTACGGTTATACTCAATGTTGATGTCTATCTTCTTCCTATTTTAGATATCTTCATTAGCGTTATAAGCCCCTTGATGCATATGGAAAATGCTTTTTTTCTTTCTCATGTGGGAGAGGAAAGAGTTTAGAAAGAAGGTGTCCTAAAACAGAGTAAGGGGGCATTCTTTGATGGCTGAACATGTCAGTGCTGGGAAAGACAAAAGTCACAACAAACAGGACAATGGCACAAAGTGGGAAAGGACTAGCGGATAATTCCCTCTTCCTT